CCTAAAGAGAAACTCGGACGTCTTCAGGGGACACCAGGTCACGCTCTCCGTCCTCGGCCCGGCGTCCGTCCAAACATCTGCCAGTTCGAAGCCGAACCGGATCTCACCGCGTCGTTCTTTACGTAGTTTTTAATGGACGTCGGCGGTGAACGCACTCGTGCTTCAAGGATTCAAACCTTGTGGGTTTGCTGACGTGAAGTTCAGGTTTTAACCGTTGATCGTCTCAGGTGGACGACTCGACACCTGTCCAACCAGCTGAGCAAACATCAAGTCATGCGCTGATGAATTTAAAACGTACAAACCTAAAGCGAGTCGAAAACGAAGTCGTTGAGATTATTTTGGTGTGAAATTAAAACCCGCTGGTTTTTAGTGGAGCAGGTTTCTACCTGGACTTGTTGGACCAGAGTCTGGATTCAAAAACAAGTCCAGTTTTAGTTTTCTGGTTCCAGCAGGTCGACCAGAACACTGAAAACTTCTGGCTCCGGTTATTTCCCAGCTTCTTCATTAAAGCTGTTTGACTAATCACTGATTTACCAACAGACTCCAGCTTGTTCTTCTGCTGCGTCACTTCCTGGAACATCTTCCCAGGTCTGAAGGTTTTAAAAGGAGCCGGCGCTGAATATCAGACGAAATATTCTGGAAAATTAAACAAAATGTTGAAAACACGAGCCCAGGTTTGACAAACGTCTGCGTTTCTCAAGAGGATTCCTCTAAACGAGCAGTTTGTACAAGTCAGGGTTAATTTAATAACGTCGGTTCTGGAGATGAAACAGGAAGTTCTTTCTGGACCTTTAAGATGCTTCTTCTGCTAATTTGACTTTCAGCTGCAGGATTTTCTTTTTATAGTTTGCAGCCGAAGCTCTGTATTCACAAAGCGAACATAAAGCGGTGAGGGCTGCGACTCCATTCACTGAGACTTTCTTCAGTTGAAACGTGTTTTGTGTTTAATCGTTGCGGACGGGTCCGGTTGTCCAAAACAGACTTAAAGACCGTCGGCTGCTCTCTGGTTTTTATTTCTGCTTTATTTTCTTGTGAACTACTGAGCGTGCCTTAATGAAGAAAAGAGTTAATTTATTGTTTGCTGTAATCGCTGATTTCTTCTTGAATGTTTTGTGCTGAAATTGAAATTTTTGGGGGACAATAAATCATTGAATTGTGAGAATTTGTGCTTTTATTTTGTCTGTTTATTCCACGATTTTCATGGTTTTATGAGAAAAATGTGACATTTGTGTGTTTAAACCATGATGGTTTCAAACTGAGAAACGATTCAAATGAAATCCTGACAAACGTCCATCAGGGACGGTGAGAGTCCGATTTCACAGCGAAACCACAATTTCAACATTTCACAGGAAGCTGGACTTTACATGTTCAACCATTTTTACACAATCACAGCTAAACATGGAGGGTTTAGTTGTTTTTAACACAGAACGTTCAACTGTGTGCTAATGTTGCAACGGTTTATTATCTGGGTGTCCAAATACTTCTTTAAAGTCTTCAGTTGATCCAAAATGCTGCTGCCAGTCTTAACTGGAGTTACTGGGAGAGATCATCTCTCCAGTTTTAGCTTCTCTCCATTGGCTCCCTGTCAAATCCAGAATAGAATTCAAAATCTTACTTCTACCCTACAAATCCCTCAACAACCTAGCTCCATCTTATATTACAGATCTTATTGTTCCATATTTTACTAACAGAGCACTTCACTCTCTGACTGCAGGTTTACTTGTGGTTCCTACAGTTTACAAAAACAGAATGGGAGGAAGATCTTTCAGTTATCAGGCTCCTCTCTTGTGGAACCAACTTCCAGTTTCTGTCCATGAGGCTGACACATTGTCCAGTTTGAAGACTTTCCTTTTTGATAAATCCTATAGTTAGGGTTGTCTTGTTATGCTGCTATAGACTTAGACTACTAGAGGACAAACTGACCTCATTTCTTTAAATGAATTGTTAAAATTGAACAGTTTTCATTTGATACTATTTCTATCTTAACATGTGATTCTTGACCTGCCATTGTGTATCTATTCCTCTCAAACCCAGCTGGTCCTCTTGTCCTGATCCTGGTTCTGCTAAAGGTTTCTTCCTCATGAGGGAGTTTTTCTTCCCACTGTCGCCTTCATGCTTGTTCAAGATGAGAGTTCAGTGATGGAGTTAAACTCAAAGCTGCTCCTCAGATAAATAATGTTCAATTATTATTTTTATATATAAATGTTTCTGTTCAATTATTATTTTTATATATAAATGTTTCTGTTCAGGCCCTGAGACGACTTCTGTTGCGACTTGGAGCTTTAGAAATAAACTGAATTGAAATTTATTTTTCAAAACTTCTGTTTTACTGACGTTTAAATTAAAGCTTTGAATTTTTACTTTAAAACCTTAATTTTTTTTTTACATCTCCTTCAACACTGTAGATAAATACAAACGTTCACCAGATGTTCGTTTGGTTAAAGAATCTCTGATACGACTCGTTTTGAGGCCGTCTCCAGTTTGTGTTGCTCCGCCCCCTCCAGAAAAGGCGGGAATCGCTGTGGCAACCAAGAGGTTCTTTGTTTTCTTCCTTTTAGGCTTTCTACAGAACAGGAAAAGTTTAGTTTTAATTAAAACAAATTAAATTTTAATTAAAAAAATAAAATACATTTAAGTGCATTAAGAAATGATTTAACTGATACGAAGCAAAAGCTTAAATTTTTCTCCCGAAGCTCAGCGAATATAGCATGACACTTAAATGAACAACAACAAAAACTTAAAAGGAACAAGGATCTAACAAATTTATTAAAAATTTCAGTGTAAAAGGACAAAAAACATCTCAAAGGACAGTAATGTACATAATAATCTAGAGGCGAACAGCGGGTCGGCAGAGCAGTTCTTGACTTTGGTAAAAGTTTCACGGCTTTTTAATTTATTCACGTCCAACCAGGATCACTCTGCTGCATTAACAGGCACTTCCTGTGTGCATAGACTTTACATGATCGCCCGAGGAAAAGGTCTTTCGCTCGGTCGAAACCTGATTCGTAGCTGTGCTGGTGAACGGAGCATTCACAGAAAAATGGTTTGAACATCAGAAACAGAAAGAGCCCCAAGAACGATTCAATCTAAAAGAAGTTAGAATTAATCAAATAGAGTGAGAACTTTCTTTAAAAAGTGCCTACATTTATATCTTGATTTTTGTTTTTGTGGCGTTCTTCTTGTTCCGTACAGAAGCGCCAGTTGTGTCGGACTGGATCGGTGCTCGTGTTGCGCAGCAGCTTCGTGTATTTTTGAGTTCAGTGCCGATACGTGATCCGTGTCTCCATCCGTGGTTCTGACTAAAACATAAACTGTCCGCTCTGAAGGTTTCTCTCCGGTTTCAGATGGACCTTCGTTCGTTTGGCTACAACAACAGATCCAGGGTGGATTTAGAGCGGGTCCGTCCAAACCGTTTGTCAAACTAAAGACGCGCTGAAAAAGAAAGTCCGGGGTTCTTATCAGGACACCATAGAACTGTTCTGGTCCTTCTCAGGTTCTATAACGATAAAACCACGACTGATGGGCGTCAGAAGTTAAGGGTGTGAGGAAATAACTGGATCCAGTCTTGGTGCTTCTACAGGATCTCAGGATCCTGTTCAGGGTCAGCCAGGAGCTGCTGATGAGCTGATCATCAGAGGAACAAACAGGTGTGTTAACACGCCGAGATGGAAAGACATCAGCAATTACCTCAGAGAAGCGTCTGCTTCTCCCCGTCGGAAGGGTCAAAGGTCATTTCCTAATGATCTGGAGTCCCTTGTTTAAGAGAACAATTATTAATGAGGACATTTAGGACAGCTGGAAATCTTCACAGTCACCCTGAAGGTCAGACCGTGCAATACTCTGAAATGAGCTCCATCTCGGACTCAACATGCCTCAGCAGGTCAAAGGTTGTGACGAGACTTCTGGGACTAACCCAAACTGGGTCCAACAGAACCACGAGTCCAAACACGGCAGCTGCTCTACAACAGAACGGGTCGGTCTGGGTTCAGAACCTCAGCCTGACTGAAACGCTGCGGTGGACCTTCAGAGAGCTGAGCAGAAACCACGAAGGAAAGAAGCGTGGACCAAAACTCCTCCAGAACCAGGAGACAAACAGAAAGCCACAGGGTTCTACAGGCTGCTGGGTCAGAACCTGGAACCAGTCCTTCACTCACAGCCTTTTAATAAATAATAACTCTGTGGAATCTGTCGTTTTTGTTCACGTCAGGTTTAGAGTCGAATCATTTTAGAACCTGATAAAGACCCGATCCGTTTATCATGACCCGGGAATAACAAAGGTGAACTTTTTCTTCCACCAGAAATAAATAAATACCCGACAGTGGAAGAGCTCCAGCTGAGCTTATTAACGGTAAAACTGCTGATGGAAACTGGTTCTTGTTCTGTCTCTAAACTTTGAAACTTAAATATAATTTTAGGCTCCTTTTCATCACAAAACAACTTTTTTATGATCAAATTTTATTATCAAATTTTAGCTGTTTTTTTATGAATTTCATAATGTTTTTATGAATTTCGTCATGTTTTTATGAATTTTGTCATGAATTTCATCATGTTTTATGAATTTCATCATGTTTTTATGAATTTCGTCATGTTTTTATTAATTTTGTCATGTTTTTATGAATTTCATGTTTTTATGAATTTCGTCATGTTTTTATGAATTTTGTCATGTTTTCATGAATTTCATCATGTTTTTATGAATTTCATCATGTTTTTATGAATTTCATCATGTTTTTTATGAATTTCATCATGAATTTCATCATGTTTTTATGAATTACGTCATGAATTTCATGTTTTTTTGAATTTCATCATGTTTTTATGAATTTCGTCATGAATTTCATGTTTTTATGAATTTCATCATGTTTTGTTGCTTTAAATGATGTCAGTGATCCAAATTCACCTTGTTTTAAATCAACACTTCCTGCTGGTCGTTGGGTCGTGCGGTTCTGTGCTCAGGTCGAGCACTGATCTTTTGACGAAGCAGGTTCGTTTGCTAAAACCACCGAGGACCTGAAACCAGAAGAAAACCTACCGGTCTATGAAAACTACAGCCTACAGAAGACGGCCCAGCCGTGGACTCCATGATTCCTGAAGTGTAGAAGTTGAGGTCGGGCGGTCGGGACCACAATCCAAAGATCCTGAGCGAGTCCCGTCTGTCCGGGAGCTGCCTGTGGAGGAGGTCTGAGTGCACGGTGAGCTACCAGTTTTTCAGCATGCTGATCTGAGCAAAGATTTTGAGCGCCGGGCCCAGTTTGATGTTCATGGTTCCCATGAGGTGGTCCTCCTTCAGCAGCAGCAGCGCCTGGCCGTCGATCTCCTGACAGCGAAACTCCTCGGCGATCTCCAAACAACCTGTGGCCAAACATGGACACCCGTCATGTGACATCGGAGAAACCTCGGGCAGGTAGCTGCCTCCGTGTGTCGGTTCGACGTCCGGATCAGCACCGGGCGATACGGACAAAAATGATTAACGCAATATTTTAGAGCCTTATCGTGATTCATACCATATATCACCGTTTTAAAGTTTTATTGTTTTACCAAACTTTGCCTGCATGGCTTCAGGATGGGAGGGGGCGAGAGCTATGAGGCGTTTGAGGGTCCTGGAAAAACTAAACTCCCTGTGAGTTGGATACAGTCATTTTAGGCTCCCAGCATTTCATGAGAACTAACGAGACGTTTCAGTCACACGAACGCTGAGTGGCGACTCAGAGGACAGGAAGTAGACCGCAGCCTGCGGTGCGTGCGTACAGCAGTTAATCCTAATAAAGTTGTCTAACCGATGATAAAAAGCCACCAGTCGGTCAGTGAGGACGCACGTGCTGCGTAGAAGCAGAACGTGGCCTCAGTGATACTCGAGCACGTTAAAACCTGAGACAGCGTCTTTAAATCAGCAGATCAGAGTTCCAACTCCCGGACTTCTCCCTGTTGGGACAACGTGCGAGTCGCTTTCCGTTTGCTGGGACCCTGATCGATACCACACCAGAGAAGAGTCCATGGTCCAGATGAACTGGATCTAAATTCAGATCCAGTTCTAGAACAAATCTACTTGGAAAAGTGCATATTGAGAATGATTCTACTAGTTTTCAGCGTCTGACCCGTAAAGATTTGTTGGTGGACGTTCGCCGACTACGGAGAGTTTATTTAAACATTTTGATGATGAACTCATTAAACTCGACAGAACAACCAGAATCTAGTAAAACATGTTATTCACGATCCTTAAATCATTTCCACTTCCTCCATCCGGTGTCTCAGACACACGTTTTCAGAATCGCTGGATAAAAACATTTTGGAGCTCTGCCAGAAAACACACTGCAATAATTCATACCGAGACTTTCAGTAAAGTTTTGCTGACTCGGATCAAAACTGCAGAACTGGTCGAGGTTTTGGAGTCACAGGAAGAGAATCTGAACCCGTGTCACGGCGGCGAGGCCACGCCCACCTGGCAGCGAGGAGATGAACTCGTAGACGTCCTCGATGTTCCACTGACCCGGGTCGCTGGGCAGGAAGGCGTGGGGCAGCAGGGGCAGGTCCGAGCCCGGACTGTGAGCCCACGGGGGGGCCGACAGAGGGGACGTCTTGCAGCCGGACAGGTCCGAACACTGACTGGAGTCGCCGTGCGCGGGGTGCACGGAGTGGCCAGCAGGAGGCGCTGCAGCAGGAGGAGGAGGTTTCTGCACACAGGAGGAGAGAACAGGAGACAAGCGTTCACGGCTCCTCTGATCTTTAGAGGAACCAAAGTTCGTTTAAATATAAATTTATTCTGTTTTCATTTTTAAAAAACTGTTTCCTGAAGGTGCATCTTAAAAAAATAACATTTTAAACTATAAAACAACATTAGGTTGATTTAAAAACTTTATTATTTTAAACAAAAATATTTTTAACCTTGGAAGAATTAGGTTTACTTTAATCCAAACTACTGACAGAAAGTATCAGAAAAATACGCACAAAATAATTTTAAATTAATAATTTGAAGATGATGTTTTGGTTAGAAGAGGCTAAAATATCAAATCTGTCAGTTGGGTTAAATTATGAATATAATATTTATTTTTAGTTAGAAGAATATAAAATCAAATTTAAAAAATGTGTGAATGTCAGCATTTATTTATGATTTTATTTAATTATATTGTTTAACATTTAGTCGGTCGGATGGATTTAAATATTGTATTGACAAATATTCCTCCACACAAATACACTAAGTTACTTTAGCTTTTAGCTACTGTCTTGCTAAATTAGCTTTTACCTATAATTTAGCTAAGTGCAGGTGATAGCATTAGCTTGTAGCTACCGCATTGCTAATTCTTGCTTTCAGTTTTTTTTTTTTTTCTACATTTAGCTTTTAGCTATGGTTAAGGTAACTTTGTGTTTTAGCTGTGCTGCTACTAATTTTAGCTTTTAACTGCAGTTTATGTTCCAGTTGTCTAATTTTAGTTTTTACTCAGTTTCGGCTTCTTCAGCAGGTTTCGGCTGCCCTTCGGCTCTCAAGTTTCCACAGAAAACACGTTTTCTTTGGATCTTTCTGACAGCTGTTTGTTTCTCCGTCAGCCTGAACGAGTTTGAATCTGGTGAAATAAAATAACTGATCGTGATCAACGCACCGAGTGGCGTTTCAGAATAAAAGCCCCGGTGGCCCCACCTTCTTTTTGGACTCCAGAGCAGTGGTCTTGTGGTTCCCGTTCAGGGCTCGTTGTTTCTTCAGGTATTCCAGGGTGGTCTTCCGGTTCGGGAAGAGGCCCATCCTCTTGGTGCAGCCCACGTTGTATCTACAGGCAGAGCTGACGTCAGAGTTCGATTTTTCTTTCTTCACTTTTTAAAACTGGATCTGACTGGGACTCGCAGCTCGGACCTGAGGGTTTGGTTCTGGTCCTGCTGGTCTGTGCTCCAGACCAGAGCTCAGACCTCAGGGCGGGCGGTGAAACTCACCGTTTGGCACAAACTGTAGAACAGAACCTCTTGGACCTTTTGAAGATGTAGGCGAAGTCCACCTTCCCGCAGAGCTCGCAGGTCAGCGTGGGCTCCGGCGGAGCCTTCAGATCTGAGGACACAACAGATCTCAGACCAGCTGAAGGCAGCGGCACAGAGTCCTGGAGGCGCCGAAAACAAAACCTGAAACTTTTACCCTTTGATGCGAGGGCGTCCATCTTGGCGTCTGCTGCTCGTCTCCTGAGACGCTCTATGGAGAAAGACGGGTGCTCCACCTGCAGGAAGGTAAACAAGAACAGGCGGTGCTTCCACGGTGCCAGGTGATCATGTATCTACCTGTGTGTGTCTGTGTGCATGGATTGCTCATACAATAAGAGACGTTCTGACCACTGCTGCTCCTTAAAATACTCACAACTTTGGCAAAAATGGGATTTATTACAATTTCTTTGGCCTTTAAAACGGGTCAGAATAAAACCAGCGTTTCTTAAAGTAATGCATATCGCCCGCCGCCTAGACTGCCAACAATTAAAGACCTGAAGCGAACCGTTAGATCTCTTAGAGATCTCTCTGGATGGGCTTTATTTAAACTTTACCTTTACAACCATTTTTAAAAATACTGAGCTAAACTTTGGTGTGGTGGAAGCTGAGAGTCGTCAACAAGATCGTTGTGCGACACTTTGGCATGCAATATGGCGGGCGACAGGCATTCTTTAGGGAAATTCTAGGCCTTGAATTAATGGTGTTATTAACAGACCTGCTCAAACAGGACGTCAGTTAACGCGTTTACTTCAGTCCTACTTTAAGAAGCGATTAAACACCAAACTGACCCAGTTTACGTGTTCGCCCTCGAGACGTTGGGGTGGAACTTCATTACCCAGGATTCAGTGTTTCTGGTACTCACAGGAAAAGGTTTGGCTCCCTCCTGGATAACGAAGCCTCCGATCAGGTGGGTGAGGATGTGGGACTTGTCTGGGGCCTGCTGGGCGGGTTTACTCCCTCCATCGTGTTGGCTGCTGGCAGTGCTCCCGTTCCCAGAGGTCATGGCTGGAGCACAGGCCGCCCCTCCCCTGTCAACAAACAAGTAAACAAGCACACGCTGCTGTTTTATCACAGAGATAACAAACAACCCGAAGCACAGGTTCGTCCTGCGACACGACTTATTTTGTGTAAACACTTCAGCGTTTGGCAGAGATGGAAACACTTTATTCTAATCTTTTAAGGTTGTGATCAATAAGCTGTACTGTTTCGGACTTCAGCTGGTTTCTCACTCGGGTTCAGTTTTTTTTTACCTGAACTTTAGACGTTTAAACCTCCAGAAATGTAAATCAGACATTAAAAACACCGAAACTCTGGGGGTTGAAGGTAATCATGTGATCAAATTGAGCTTTTCTGAGCACATATTTCCATCAGAACGTGTCAACTTCGTTTGAAATGTTTTATTGCAAATTGAATGAATTTATTTTAGACGTTATGAAGTGAGCCTAATATGTCGTATCAATTAAGATTTCAATTTGTGGGACTCGTACAAACAGGTCTCTCTTGTAAAAGAGTCCTCGAGGCTCAATGAGACTAACCTGTAAAAATAAAGGTTGAAAGAATTAATATATTTGGCGCCACAAACAAAAACTAATCTGAACAATTTTAAAATGAAGTCTGGTGCTCCACAAACAAACAATGTTCACTGAACATAATGTGGACTTTTTTAATACTTTGTTTGTGAACGCCACTCATTTCTCTTGGAGCTCTGTGCCACTGACATCTTGACAAAACATACGATCAATTAATTATTAAAATAATTTATTTATAGACCAATTAAAAAAAACAAAACCTAACGTGTCATATAAATGTAAAAGTCGAGTTGTGAGTTTCATATTTCTGGTGCAACAAATAAAACATGTACAATTTATGAATCAAGTTTGGAGAGCCACAAAAGCTGTGAATCGAAGCTCCAGATGCTTTTTATGTTGAAATATTTCCCTTTTCAGACACTTTCATTCAGCCGATTTAAAGATCAGACCTTAACGCGACAGGTGAATTTAAAAAACGGCTTCAAGTTTCCAGCATTTTGATAAAATCACAAAAAGAAACTAAACTGTTGGATTTTTGAATGAAGTCTGGTTTCACACACAAGCGCAGTTTGCTTGACCTGCGGGTGAACTGTTGTTGTTCATGAGACTTCTAAACTCGTTCAGATCTTTCTAAATGTTTCTTTTAAGAGTTTAAATCACACAAAATAGATTTATACCGACGTGTGGATTAAATCCATCCTGTTTATTAGATTAGTTAGGAGCTAAGTTAGAGTTGAGCGCGACGGGATCTGGTGCGTTAGCTCGATTAGCACGTTGTTTATGATCACCGACTAACAGCTGGATGTATTAATACACACTTTTCTGCGACCTTCGGTCAGTAGTCGTAGTTGAACCGTCCCGACCAGGCGCCCCGCTCCGTAACAACAATGGTTGAGAAGAAAAGCTCTTTGTTCAGTGGCTCCAAACCAAACAAACGCTTTCATTTACTTTTAAACTCCGCCCGCCTGGATCGGCGAGGAGCCGGCGTGCGAAATATTGAAATGAAAAATAAGTACTTGAAACGAGCTGAGCTCCGTTACACGCGCAAAGTTAGTAACTGTTCCATGTCTTCACCATGATTCACCCGTGCGCTTTTCGAGCTGCGCGAGCCCGACCCGCAGCGGAGTTCCGACCAATCAAGTTACAGAAACTGACAGCGACCACTTCCTGTTTTGGACGTTCAAAATAAAAGCTTGCTTCGCGATGCCGCTGTATGTGGAGCCGCGAAGTCCGCGCCGATGCTCTTGTTTTGAAAACGTATACCTTTGTGTGTTTGAACGGACGTGAGCTTTACGGAAGCGTCCGTTTGTTTTGGAGAATGGAAGCAGAAGCGGACTGACGCCCCCTGTGACCCAGGACTCAGTCAGGTGCCTCTGGTGAATCCATCGTAATGGGACAGTTAAAAAACACCTAGAGATTCATTTAGAAACTATGGAAACCCCGAGGTGCCACTGGTCTTTAAAGGCAAACCATGAAATCAATATAATCTGGATTTACATCAGCTGTTTTCCTCAGAACATGAAATTCTGAAATGTGGGTATGCACTCGGTGTAAACAAAGTACTTTTATCTGCATATGGTACTCAACAAATCTGAGCGTAAACACATCAAAATTCTCCGTTTTGTCCAACTCAGACAGCGTTTACATGGAAAGCCTTTGATGATAGCTGAAAGTCAGAAATTTTACTTACACATTTTTTAAATTTAAGGACACATCCATCCTTCCATCATCCAGCCATCCATCCATCCATCATCTTTACCCACTTCTTTCTTTTCGGGTCACTGGTGTCCATATCCAGCGGTCACTGTGCGAGAGGCAGGAGACGCCCTGGACTCCAAATCTCCAGTCCATCACAGGGACCCATAGAGACAAGCGAGACACATATTCTATTCAATTCAAGAATACTTTATTAATCCCAAAGGGAAATTAAATGTTGTAACTCATTATCCTCGTTTCATTAAGAGATGTTATAGATGCTGATGCTGTAGGCAGACTCTTGTAAAGGTCCGTCCCACAGCGGATCTGAAGAAACTGGCTGCAGATGCTATTCGATCCGTCCACCTGGACTCGGCTGGTCTCTCAGTTCATGGGGCTGCAGGACCGCCTGAATGCCAGGCAGAACTCCTCCCAGAATAATGGCCACTCCTCCCAGCAGCCCGCCGAGCTCCTCGTTGCTGCAGACAGACAGCTGCAGGTGCGGGGGGACGATACTGGTCCTTCTGCTGACACGAGCCATGTTTCCTGCTAGTTCCAGGATTTTTTTTAGGAGCTCTTGGGATCTCAGTGGTCAGACACTCGAGCACAGCCGACAGGTAGACGGGAAAGCATCCACGGGCCCTCCTTTTCAACTCATTTGAGATTTGGCACTGTAGCAGAGATATTATTTGAGCTTTTGAGATGTTAATCAGCTGCTCCTGGTTGTAAACAAAACACTTTATTGTCATGTTTACGCATCATAACAAATGTCCAAAAGTAAAAGAAGTTTTAGTAAAAATCCTTTCAGCTGCACAGCATCTGACACCAGAGGAAACAATCGTCCAAATAAAGCGATTTACGTCCAGAAAACAGAAAGTAGGTAAAGTTTCCAAAAGCAACATCTCAGAATGAATGTCACAGAGCTGCTCCAACATGCAGCCACCCTGAGCAGCACGAACAGAACCAGCCTAACATGCATGTTTGTGGTGTGTGGGAGGAAACCAGTACCCGGAGAAACCCCACACAGCACAGAGAGAACATGCAAACTCCACCCAGAAAGGTTCGCAGCCAGGAGTCATCCAGCGACCTTCTCACTGAGAGGCAGCAGCTCTATCAACTGATCCACCGTGTTGAATGAGAGTAACAATAATTAATCAGATCGCCGTGAGTTTCGGTGTAAACGACGTTTTTGGCAGAACTCTGGCCGACATTCGACTCGTCTTGGCAGAACATTTTGTTTTAACTGGATGGTTTCCTGCAAAGATCTGCTTTTAATCAAAGTCCATGAATTTAAAGTCAGGACTTTGAAAAGGTCATTCCAGAAGCTTCATGTTAGCCTGATTTATCCAATCAGACACCAGAGCTGGTGTGTCATGGTCCTGGTGGACGCACCTGGGTCCAGGCGCCAGCTGTCCAGCTGTTGAGTTGAGGTGAAGCTGAAGGATTTGGACGTAGTCCTCCTCCTCCATCTACCAGCCCCACAGCATGGTGCTGCCACCACCGTGCCTGACAGTTGGTTCAGTGTTCTCAGGTCTGAAAGTCTCATCTGGATTCAATCTTTCTTGTCTTTATGTCCAAACGCCTCCATCTTCGTCTCGTTTGACCATCAAACGTTTCTCCAGAAGACACTTTGTCCACAGGGACAGCTGCAGGCTTCAGTCCAGCTGAGGTGGACCTTCTTGGTCCTCTGTAAAACCTGATTCACTGCAGGGACACTTCTGTTCCTGCAGTCTCCAGTTCTTGGAGACTTGAGTCTTGGTGGATGCTGAACATCTGAACCAGTTTTCTGGTGAGTTCAGTCCAGTAAATGCTGTCAAACCTTTTTTAATGTTATTTAAAAATGTATATTATTCTCTGTTACCCGATTTGAGAATAAAATAACAAAGTGTGAATTAAACTGATTTTCTTTTGTCTGAATTACAGGAAAATGTCAGTTTGAGCACTTCCTGTACAGATAGACTTTCAGAATAAATTTAAGAATTTTGAAACAGAAGTTTTTTTTTTTTTTTTTACTCTATTTAGAAATACTTTATAAATATTATAGGCATATTTTCTCCTGTTTTAATGTTAAGTGTTGCAGCCGTGAGGTTTAAATGAATGGACGAGTTTTATTTCAGTTAATTAAAACTGCTCATTAATTGGAGCAGATTAATTAGGAAACCGGAAGTTGTGTTGGCGCGGTGCTGGTGGACAGGGGGCGGGGTTATCTCCGCTGGTCTCAGGTCGGTCTCACTCTGAGGTGGACCCGTGTGAGGTGCTGGTTCTGCTGCAGGTCGGGTCTCATGTCAGAGCTGGACTTGATGAAAAAGAAGCAGCGTTTCGCCTCTGGGACCCATTTGTCCTCGGCCTCCCTGAAGAGGAGGTTTTTAAAGAAGAGGAGGTGGAGGAGGAGGAGGGTGACTCCGGAGGCGCAGCATGAGGAGGACAGCGACTGCGAGCCGTGCAGGTGAGACACTGAGGATGAGACACAGAGTGAGACACTGTGAGGGTGAGACACTGTGAGGGTGAGACATTGTGAGGGTGAGACACTGTGACGGTGAGACACTGTGAGGGTGAGACACTGATTATGAGGGTGAGACACTGAGGGGGAGACACTGTGAGGGTGAGACACTGAGGGTGGGACACTGTGAGGGTGGGACACTGAGAGTGAGACACGAGTGAGACATTATGAGGGTGAGACACTGAGAGTGAGGCAATATGAGGACAGCAACTGTGACCCATGCAGGTGAGACACTGAGGGTGAGACACTGAGGGTGAAACACTGTGAGGGTGGGACACTGAGTGTGAGATATGGGTGAGACATTGTGAGGGTGAGACACTGAGGGTGAGACACTGTGAGGGTGAGACATTGTGATGGTGAGACACTGAAAGTGAGACACTGTGAGGGTGGGACACTGAGGGTGAGACACTGTGAGGGTGGGACACTGAGTGTGAGATATGGGTGAGACATTGTGAGGGTGAGACACAGAGTGAGACACGGGTGAGACATTATGAGAGTGAGGCACTATGAGGACAGCAACTGTGACCCATGCAGGTGAGACACTGAGGGTGAGACACTGAGAGTGAAACACTGAGGGTGAGACATTTTGAGGGTGAGACACAATGAGGCAAAAATATGTGAGAGTGATACTGTGTGGATGAGACACTGTGAGGGTGAGACACTGTGAGGGTGAGACAATGTGAGGATGAGACACTGTGAGGATGAGACACTATGAAGTGAAACTATGTGAGAGTGAGACATTGTGAGGTAAGACTCCATGAGAGTAAGACTGCCTCAGTGTGAGACTCAGTGAGGGTGAGACACTGTGAGGGTGAGACATTGTGAGGGTGAGACACTGTGAGGGTGAGACTGGTGAATCTGAGTTCTGGTACCACATTAAGTCCAGCTGAAGGAACAAGGAGTGACAAAAGGTGTTTTTTTTTCTGTGTTTTTCAAAGTCCTGATTTATTCTGTTGTTTTTCTGATTTAGATTCTTTTAAACTATTTTAAGACTTTTGTCGTCTAACTTCTTCTGCAGACTTCGTGTAACTTTAAAAACACAAAATAACTTTTATACTTTTCTAAATCTTTAACTATTTTCACCACAGGAAAACGCAGAGGTCTGTTCAGAAACATTATTCTCTTTAAAATCTGCTTTTACCTCTTTTTCTACATTTAGCCTTTTGTTCATTTTAGCTTTAGCTATCCTTTAGCTACTTTTAGCATTTTGCTGCTTTTTGCTTTTATCATTTTGCTAATTTTAGCTTTCAGCTACTCTTTTTTTAAACTTTTTGTTTTAGCCTCATGTTTACTACTTGTAGCAAGTTTTTATTACTTAAAAGTTTTAGCTAGCCTTTTACTTTTTAGTGTTTAACCTTTTTATTATTTTTAGCTCGTGTTCTGCTTCTGGTAGCTTTTAGCTAGTGTTCTGTTTTTTTAGCTTTGTAAATTCAGCTTCATCTTTTTCAGCAACAACTGTTTAAAACCCATAAATGAGTGTTGCAAACGGTTGCAGTACTTTGATCGTGTCTGTCCAGAATGGACCAGATGTTTTTATGTTCCCGTTCAGGTAAGATCTTTCTCTGTATTTGGTTCTTGGTTGTTCGGGTCATACAAACTGACGGTTTAGTTTCAGGCGATCTCCAGAACTCTAAGTTGTGCGTGTTTTTGCCATAATTGTCCCAAGAGACAGTAAAAAGGTTGTAAGGCTGTTTATCGACCTCTGATGCGTCACCGGTTGTTTTCCTGCGTTCCAGATGTTTCATATTTTCCACGTCCAGCAGCAACCGCACCGTCCACCGGA